GTCGAGCGTCCATGACTTGTGTGAAAGGATCAACGTGAAGTACGTAGACTTCAGGGCAGTCAGTTCTTGACACAAGTGCCGAGTGCGCGACACAGATGTCGGTGACCATGCAAAATATCCGTACGACGCGAGCGCGCCTAGCACTGAGCAAAACACGCAGCCTTTCGATACCTTCCGATCGGTAAGTCGCCTCCTCTGTTACTTCCTCATCGGTATACGATAGCCTTATCAACTGTTGTCGCTTAAGACCACGTTGTGCTTTCGCAAACTCTGGAGTTGTGGTCTTCTCAGCTTGAGACCTGGGCGCAACGAAGCCACATAAACATTTTCGTAAAAGCTGCATCATAGTCGTTAGCTGACAGAGCATATAGGTTAGATAACACTCAAGAACATGACCTACGTACCGTCGATCTTCCCCATGGGTTTATACGTGATGTCCCACTGTGCGAGTTTGCATCTGTTGACATTTGCGAGTGTATTTCAGCTCAAGTTGTTCAGATCCTGTGTTTGCTTTGCTGGGTAGTAGATGTAGTGCGCGAGAAGTGTCTGTGGGCCACATAACCCTAGAGGCCGTGTAGCCCACGGTACTCCACTCACTGACTTTATTCCGCAAGCGACAAACCGGAAAGCTGCAGTTGAGTGAGCTAATGGCAAATTGATGATAAAGAAAAAATGGTAATGCAAAAGAATACCTGAACTACTGTTCTGTCCCGCTTTTGTACATAAAATCTACGATTACATCGAGTTGGACATAAACCTCGCGCATTTTGTGCCGTAGAAAGCTGCTTAACCCAATTAGGGCCGGGAATTACTCTGTGGAATACAGATTAAGACGATATCTTGATTAAACTATAGCGGGAAGTTTGCAATATTTTATCGGTTGCAAACCCTTTCGCTGCTAGACGCTGCGCACTGACTCAAAAACACTGCGCAATTGCACAAAACTACACTAATGTATCCACCACTTGGATATTTTAACGCTTTCCATTGGCCACAACTGGACAAATCACGATCAAAAATCCTCCAAATTCTAAGTCCTTCTAAATGGGGATCAAGGTTGCTCATCGCTTTCGCGACCGGTGGCGGACGAACACCCGCACCACGTGGCGCGCTCACCAAATTTTCGGCTAGGTCTAAACTTACAGAGAAGTAATTAGGCTAGAACTTGCCGAAAGTTTGGTGAGCAAGACGAGATACGACTGAATGGTACGCAAAGTGAAGCTGCTATTATTGTAGTTAGATAACTGCTAATCTAACACCACCACTATGATTAGCTATTGTCGTCAGTGTCCGCATCGTCCGCGTTGCTGTTGTAGTCCTCCCCTCACTTGCGCTTTCTGAAGCGAATCCTTTTTCGTATTAGAGAAGGGATGGCTGCTTTATTCCCCCACGCTCCATGCCTCACCTGACTGCACGTCAGCGTGTTTCCGGTTTCCGTGCGTCGTACAGTGTTACAAAGTGACACGTATCCTCCCATGTTGCTGCTGCAGTCACGGCAATACAAGCGGCTCTCGAAACTCTTGACCTTTGGTGGACTCAACGCGGAGCAATCCTTGCAGAGAAACTGGCGGCTTTTCTTATCTCCCTTGTGTCTTCCAGTCTTTGCCTCATGCAGCTATTTGGTGCTGCACAGAACGTGCTCCCGAGTTCGGAGTGGTGCGTTGGCCAAGTCCTCACCGTATTGATTAGAGCGGAAACTTACAGAAGTCACTGCTAGTAAATCCGTATGAAGGCGTCTCATGTACTCGGCATGTATTGGGACTCTATCTCCTTTTCGCTTCACGGCCAGCTTGTGCAAGATGAAGCCGTTCACCACTGCCATGTCGACAAAAGCTAGAAATAGCTGTCGAAAGTACTTTCTGAATGCTACACATCTCTGGATCGAGTAGCGTTGCAAGCGGATCTGATCATGAGTATCTACTCCACCCATGCCAGAATGGTAGTCAGCAACTAGCTGCGGGCATGGAACTTGCGTGACGGCCCCCGTCCTTTTGTCCTTCCTTGACACGTGTGTCTGTACTGTGGAGCACACTGTGGCGGTCATGTGAACAAGACTCGAGCCCATCCATGCAGCAGCAACAAGCTCTGGGTATTGCCTGGCTAGGGCAATCCTGTACGTTCCTCGAGACATAGACCGTGGTCTCTTCTTGTGCTTAAACATGAGCTCTTTTGGCCACCCCAGTCGGTCGCTTCGTTGCGTCCCAACGTAGTAGAACCCCAGTGGTAGAAGTGAAAGTGCCAGCGCAGGTGAACTGTAGAAGTTGTCGGCTATAACTAACCGCTGCTTCGGTAACCCATCAAACGCCTTGGTGATATTGCGGATGGCTGTCCTTTGGGATGCGCCTTCGCTCTTCTTCTTGTCCGGTTCAGCACCAAGATAAACTTCAACTCTGTAGTATACAGAATAACAAAAATTGTAGCATTGGTAGTTAGCAATTCTGTCGGAAACTGAACACAATACAAACCTTGCGCAGTACCCACTGACGGCACAGCAAGTCATGTAGCACTTGGTACTATACTTGTGGGGCTTCTCCTTGTTGTAAGTCCGTATAGGATTGTATTGACTTCGATTAGGGATTGTTCCTTCGTCGAAGCTTACACGTGTACCGAGACGATACCCGCGACGAAACGTTTTCTCGATCACCAGCAAAATCGGGCGGATCTGGAACGCCTTGTCAGTGGTCGTGTCTCCGCTGGTGGTGCTTGTAAAATGGAGGAGACGAGGTATTGTTCTGAATCTCTCGCGCTTCATGTACCCAAGAGAGGTTCCCCGAGGAACGGCACCTTCTTCACTGGTAGTCCAATGCTTCGACAAGCCGTCCTTATGTCCACACAGCGTACGCGCCACCAACAGCCGAATTACGTGCAAAGGCTCGTGCTCTCGTATTGGCTTCTGTATTTCGAGCTTGTTAATGATGTCTTCTATGGCTTCCACGGATTTCTTAGGGTCTTTAGCTTGGGCTGCAAGCTGTCGTCCACGGGTTTGCTGTGCGATCGCTGGAATGCATTTACTCCGATAGACTTCAAACTCCAACGCAATTTTCTTCCACAATGACTTGGGCAGAAAGTAAAAGAACATTCCTATCGGTGACTCAGCAAAAGCAGCAGCAGATTTTGTGGTTCCCATCTACCGTCAAACAAAGTAGCTCCGTCCAGTTTTAGATCGGCTGTGCCAAGTATAACACAGAACAAGTTGGACGTTGATAACTCTTATTCTGTATATCATAGTCTTACCGCAGCGGTCTTGGTCGTATAATTCCCACCCTGAACTAGCACGCTCCCGCATTTCTCTCGAGTCATGCCGAAAATTCTGACTTGCGTCCTCAAATTGCGGGTCTGACTCCACGTCATCCACATATTCCTCGTCATCGATTTTGTGCTCGTCAAAAACAGAAACCTCGTCGTTCGACTCGGCACTGCATAGGAACGACTCGTCGCCAATATTGACATCATCTACATCAACGGGTCCAAAGAGATTTTCAGCACGGAAGGCTTCCATAAAGTCATCTCGATCAAATTCATCTAGACCCGGTTCGTCGTCATCTCTATCACATGCCTCTAGACCCGGTTTTTCGTCAGTCTTTAGTTCCTCCTCGAAACTTGCAACGCCACCACCAGCATTTGTATCCTCAATAGCAATTGGGCTCGTATCAACAGCGTCATTAGCACCTTATTCCGTAGCAGCCATAATAGGGGTTCCCACCGTAACCGCTTGTTCTGTAGCAACCACATTAGAGGTCGCCACCGTAGCTTCTTCTTCTGTAGCAGCCATAGTAGCGGTCGCCACCGTAGCTTCTTCTTCAGTAGCAGCCGGATTTGTAGTTTCCACCGTAGCCTCTTGTTATGTAGCAGCCGGGTTAGCAGAGTCGGCACGAGTTTCTAGTTCAGGTGTTGGCGGCTCAGGCTGGCGCTGTCGAGCGGCAGCATACGCTGCTAGTTTCCCCATCGGGGGCTTCATTCCAGGTATCGAACCAATTTGACAAGGTGGAGGTGGAGGTAGAGGTGTCAAGCCTTCCTGTATTGCGTATGCCCAAAGCGCCTTAGGCCCTAAAACGTTTACAAATAGTCAGTCAACTATTTTGTACAATCACAAACCACCAAACATACCGACGAAATAGTCAATACCGACTTAGTCCTGGCGTAGCTTGCCTTTAACACCCGGCTTGACGTATGTATGGTATGAGCTGAGGCCTGAAGGGCGTCTTGCCCGCCACCCCGCCCTGACGAGAGAGCTTCACAAGCGCTTGAACTCCTTGAGGTCAATCCAGTCCGTCATTATGAAATGAGTGGCGTGAAAGATGAGGCAGGAAATGCGATAAAGGGCTTATGATAGGATTTCAACACCTGTCACTCATTTATACAGCCTTTTCTATGGTTGCAGAAAAAACCCATCTATCTCCCCAACTCCAATCCATTATACTAAAAAGCCCCTCTATCGCCAATACAAACAGTTCTATGCGGAGAATCTCCTTTTACCTTCTTGCTTCTAGCCTTTTAGTATATTAAAACTTGCAATATTCCTTCTTCTGTCGAATACAGAATACGGCCTTTATTGGGTTAAATATCCTTTAAGGGCTTTATTCCTTAACTTTGTATGGTGTCCCTTCATATAGAGTGCATGGCTTTAACGAAAGGGTTAACACACCAATACCCAGCTGCTTTTTCGTTACTTTCAGCTCCTTGCATTCATCTGCGCTAGGTGTAAGCTACGGACAACATTCACGCAAATTTGATAACTTCGGCGGTAGTCGTAATTTACTGTGATCTGGGAGTAAGAAATGAGAATGGTTTTGGTCACCTCCTAAAACTCAGGGTATAAAATTCAGAGAGCAACCACGTTGTACTGAGCAATGTAAACAGCAAATATCGACCATTGTAGGCTTCTGAGTCACATACTAGAAGGCTTTCAATGAAAAAAATGACGAGATTCGTGCATTATTGGTGTATCCTCTAAGCATACACACTGTTCGACCATGATTCCCTTCTCCCAGATCTATGTCCTAGTCGTAGTTACGCGTCTGGACATGTTTCACAATCATCTCAGCAAGCTTACTGTTCCCCCGTATAACATCCTCTCCAATCTCTTCCCTGATCTTGTCCACTTTATATTTGTTCCACTTCACGAACATCTTACGTTGATACTCCTCGTTTGTCAACATTCTCTCCCACGTTGCACTGGAAAAGGGCCCCCAGTGCCATTTACCGACGACGCCTGGGGCTCTTTCTTCAGTGTCAGCACCGTCGTAGTTCCGTAGCAGACGATTGGGAGCTTGGTGAGCTTGATCAGTGGCAGCGCATTGCGTGAAATATACCACTGCAACTGCCACCGCCATGAAACGTACATGTACCGGTAGACGCATCACACCTTGGAGAAGTACTGTCGACTAGGCTGCCTTGGGCCTGGATGGAGATTTGTAAAGTGAGAAACAGAAGAACTGGGAGCGGGGCCCAGCACTGCGCTTCATTTCTCAGACCCCACGCTTTACAGTAACAGACAAGGCCCTGTGTGTAATTCACAGACTATTAGTACGATCTACTGTACTCAGCGCTGTATTTAAATAGAGCCAGAATAACGCATGTTTTGCAGCACGTACGTATCGCCTGACGCATCCGTACCGATGGTTACGGCATGTTTAAGAGAACGGGAAGGGCTAAAAAAAAATTACTCTCACACTAGAAGGCTCTGATTGCCGGTAGTACGTAATCACCAAAGCACAAGATCGTGATCTTCCGCTGTCCGATGCTACCTCTCGTATCAAGCCCTACCGGTAGCCTAAACTTTACAGTACTAGGACCCAGGCCTGTAAAGTTTACCATCTACAGTAGTCAACAGGAGCTCCTGATTAAGGTATGGTCTTGTCAATATTTCTTATGAAACCATAAATATTTTTATTTCGTCGACTTCATAAGTAATTCATATGCTAAAAAGCCAATCTACCATAAATTATGAAAAAATGTTCATCATTATGCAAACCATGACATTTTCATTCAAAATAAACTCACAAATCGCTAAGCATCACAAATGGGTATTATTACAGCACGACAACGGTGTGATTTCGACAGGTTGTGCATTTTTAAAATGATGTTGAGTCGCTCTACAAATGCTCTTATTTATCGGTCACTAAATTTGCCATAATGTATGAATTGGCACTAGCTGCCCAATGCCATTATTTATGCTAAGGGAGGGCTCCCGATAGATAGCAATGTCATAATCGGGACCAGTGTAGATCGCAAACTTTAAAGTGCTTGATACGAGAGGTAATTCATGTAATAGCATTGGACAGCGGAAGATCACGATCTTGTGCTTCGGTGATTACGTACTGCCGCCTTCTTTTGTGAGAGAAAGCCAGACTTGTAGAATCACATTGCTGCAGACTCTTCAGATAAGAAGTGAGGCATTTTGTACCCCACAGCTTAATGCTGACATAAAAAAACCGTGTTCGCAAGCAAATTATGGACATGTATCAAAACCGGTACTTAGTTTACGAAGGGGCTTCCATACGATTGTGCGATCACTTGTAAGTTGTGGCTCCGCAACGGACTCGGTTGACACTACGAAGCACTTGACACCTTACCCTGAACTCTTTCGATCATGCTCTTATTAAGATTTCTTAATTTAAGAAGCAGCAATACTGGTACTGTACAGACGATCCGGTCGGCCGCACTGTATTACTATATAGAGAAATTACAATTCGGAGCTGTACCCAACATACGGTACAATCAACTAAACTCCTGGCTCAATGATGGATTGTCGGTGTGTGGCGGAGATCTGTCGTCGGTGTGCATTTGTCATTAAAATATTGGGAGGAAATTGATAAATGCCACCGCAAGCCGACACCAGTCGAGCCACTTCGTAGTTAACGAACCGCACCCTCGCTACTTCCAGCTTAAGTTGTAAGCTCAAAACGTGTCTCATACACAGCGCTCTTTAACACAGGCAACGATTAGAAGCATCCTGAAGCAGGAACGCATACTCGAAGCCATAGCATTGCAAACTCTGACCACAAAGTCGCACCGCTCGGTTTGCTTTACCGAGTTGGACTCCGAGCGCACAAAATGGGTCACTAGCTGGCATGAAATAATCTAAAAAAAAATCGATTGTATTTACATGCAATGCGGATGGATCTGAACGTTTACCATCACTTTTTGTGGGAAATTCAAGGAGATAACCACTATTATCATTCTTCGATCGTCCTAGATAGAACAAACACAATCAATAGTTAAGTACCTCTGAATAACAATACACATTATTTTAGGTTTTTATTCACTAATTAGAGGATCGAGGCTAGCTCATCTTAAGTTTGTAAGCTGGCCCCTCTCAAAAACTATATGACCAGTGTTAGAGTCACATAATAAGAGTGTGACTTCGTACTTAAGCGCATATTAGTGACACAGACACGGCACTCCGTCTTGTGTGGCGAATACTAGCGTCACAAAGCCACAAAGGGCACACTATCAAAATAAATTACCCGATATATTTCAAAAATTTCAGCCCGTGCCGCGTGCTTGCGCATACCTAAATGTGCTACGAATGTTGTGCTAATGGTCGTGTTGCACGACTGTACGCAAGACTTCGCGCAGTCAGATTTCTGCCGCAGTGAGAGGCGACGCGGGCGCTGCGGACACGCGAGGAATGACGGATGAAGACGATGGAAACAAGCGTCCGAGATGCAAGTAGCACGGGGAGGGGACGTCCTCGTCACGACGTGATTTGCTTTGCATGGAGGCTGTGCCGCCGTGCTGAAGGTCTCGAACAAGCTATCCAGCGTTGGACATGTGACCAAGTGCCCGAGAGCCATGCAATGTGGGCATCACCCAGTCGTACAGCGCTGTCAAGACCACCGCAGAGTCGACGTAAGAGCATGTTTATGGGCATGGCCGCGCAGCTCGTGCCTTGCCAACAGTACCAACAACGTGGTTCCAGGTCGGACACGGAGATTTGTAGCGGTTGCTGATGGACTCATGAAAGCAGATACATGGTAAAGAAGTGCTTACGCTATCCCATGCAGTACGGCATGCTGCATGGTCATGAAGAGAATCGAAAAACGGGCGCGCGAGCTCGCGAACACGCATGCAAGACGAAAGCATTTATCGTTCTTAAAGGTGTTAGTGTTCCTTGAACAAGTTGCTTGGCTTCTTTACGAGACTCCACCATCCGTTGTCGTTTCTCCTTCTGCTTCTGAGCTTTCCGAATTTTTGGACGACCTCTGCTCTTCGTACTTTTTGAGACGAAGAATGACGTTTCCTCACTAGAGCTTGAGCCACTACTGTTTGCTCTCTTCTGCGGTAATGTTGGTGAATTGGTTTGTCCTGAAGGCACACTGTCCGAGTGACTTTGTCCTGAAGGCACACTGTCCGAGTGACTTTGTCTTGAAGGCACACTGTCCGAGTGACTTTGGCCTCTGGACTCGCCATCAAGTGTTTCCACCTGGCTTGGTGTGGCATTAATAGTCGGTGCTATCTCGCTGTCGTTCGAACTTAGCCCAACTTCATATGTATCCAGCCCAGAAAGTTGCGACAGTGGATACAGCTCAGAGAACTTGTCAAACCACTCAGAATAAGTCGATACAACCGGGGTTTCTCCGGTAATCGCAATCTGCTCGAATCGTTGCAACGCTTCTATCATTTCCTTGAAGATAGGTGTGCCGTTGCGGCTCATAATGTCAGCTATACGCGTGGCAGTATCGTGTGATGTACGAAATTTACTCGTGCCATTGAGCACTTTGTGTCGGGATGCCTTCAATGCGGAGCTGCTCACTCGAAAAGAACTGCTAACATTTTCTTCACTGACAGTCTCATCGTCAACAGGAACATTCGCTGGGCTAGTCAGACTCCACCTAGAGTGTATATGTTTCAGCGAAATGGGACTTTTGCTGGAAAGTAATCGCCAGTAGATGACATGGCGACAAGGTAACAGCTCAGTTCCATAAATGCACACGAGCAGCGATAGGTCTAAGCACAGCATAACATGATGATAAGTCCATAGGAATTTAAAGATGATCACAATTAACCCAAACGTACTCTAGTGTCGACGTGATACTTGCGGTCTGGATCTCCTGCTGAAGACAGTTGAAACACTTGGTCTTGTAGCTCGATAATATTGTAGTGTGTTTTACGATCATTCGCAACCCGATACTGCTTTTCCACGAGCTGGTAGGCATGTTGACTCACTTCCTTCGCCAGCTTCTCCAATTCAGCATCAGCGCCACCATATCGCATATATCCAACATCCGTCATCTTCTTTGCGTACTCAAGTTCAGCTATCGACTGCAAAAACATTAGCGTATCTACACACTCGTCCAGCATCATTGTTGGCTTCAACACATCCTTTAAATGACCCCATGCTGCTTCAAGGCGATTGTTGGTTGTGTTTCCCAAATGCGGGACGTCAACACGCCCAAAGCCGCTCCACATTTCTCTGCACTGGTGCCAATTCGAGTCAAAGTATTGTAAGAATGCGTGCTCCGGCTCCGGTACTTCTTCATCTTTCAAAATTTGTTTCCCTTCCACGATGTAGTACAAATACTTTCGACCAATTTCATACTCGCCTTCCGTTTGCGCACTTAGCATCATATGAACAGCATCTTCGATCATTTCACGATCAAGAAGTCCGTACACACGCTTTGCCATCTCGGTCCGTAAATACTTAACAACGTGGAATACACAAAGGAGAACTCGCGCAGCCGGAAAAGCAGATTGCAGTAACGAAATTTCTCCGAAGTCCTTATCGACGATGATTACACGGACGTCGATTGGCAGGGTGGTTGTTATACTTGTCTGGTCCGAGGCCCTGGTTGTGCGTCGTGTTCTGCTGGGTTATCTTCACTTGAAAACCATGATCTCCTGACCACACCACTGTAACCGGGATCTGAGCCCTCGACTTGACAAAGTAGTTGGAGCGCTTGCCAGTAGACCGACTGGGCCGACTCCAGCCATGCGTGCAACAAAGTCGCCGGTAGTATTTGTCGAACGAATCAGGAATTCTTGTCGTCTCTGTCAGCTTGCCTCGCTTCGCTAATTCAGCATTCCTAGATGCAGCGCTTGTAGAGGTACGCTTACGGAACACTTGGTGGGTCTGCTCTTGGTACTGCTCCAACGCCGAAAAAAATGCACCCCACGTTGTGTAACAGCGCTGTTCTAACGGGGGAGCACACGTAGACGTATTCCGCGATTCCGGGACGTGTACCTCCGGAGAGCGTACCTCGGCAGGCTCACTCTCGCCGTCCGATCCCGAGCCAGTCGACGCGACGCTCGCCATTTTGTCGAATTTGGTCCTGTTTCGAAATGAACGGCGGGAAATCGTCGCGGGCGGGTAGAAGAGGGGAGGGGGAATGACACGGAGGAGGGGGGAGCTGGAAGG